ATGTCCTTATAGCGGGAAAAACTTCTTTCCACCTCGCAGGAACTTAGGGGCGCATGTACAAAAGCCACTGTTTGATCCACTGTTGGCAGTTCAGTATGTTTACTGGCTAAAATTTCTTCAATTTCACAAATGTGTCCATATCCTGGATTTTTTGGAAGAATGCTGTGTACTTTTTCCTTTACTACTTCAACAACTCTTCCAGGAACTGAATTCAATTTGGAAACAGTGGTTTTGAACACACTTAATGACTGATACAAAATAGTATTGCTAATGCTTCCGACTAATCTCTTCGCAGCCACTTTGATGGTACGTGGATGAGGCAAGCTACGAGTAGAGGGATCGGGGAAGTCCCGTCCTGGGTACTGCATCAGAAACATGAATCATGACGAAATGTTGAGTCAAATATGCAACATACTCTAATACAGAAAAGAAAAATTGTATACACACGACCATGTTTGAAAATTTTAATATAGAATTAAAAAATATATATGATAAACATTTTAAAAAGGAACTATGCAGTATAAACAGAGATCTTCAAAAATATGATGCTTATTCATAAAACAGGCAAAATATGCTTTTATATGCACCATCAAACCATGTCCAAAATTTAAGAAATGAAGTAATTCATACATATATCCAAACGAGCATACTTTCTGGTTGCAAGAAAGAAATACGCATTTGCATTAAAATCCAGTCCCTAGTAATAACTTAACCATGCCATGAGGTCTGCAGACACCATATAACTGGAAGTATGCTGTGTCCACATAAAATGAGTAAACTACTATAAAGTGGAGGGGTAACTGTGACTTTCTTATGTCACGTGTTACGGGTAGTAATGACGCCATCCTCAATAAGTTTGGCACGTTTGGGAAGACTTGGGGACTGACACCAAGGGTGGTATATTAGATATACCCTGCAGTGGTAAGACCCATAATCACTTATGCTACCACTATATGGTGGCCTAGAGCCAAACTCAAAACAAGTCAGGCAGAACTTAGCAAACTGCAGAGGACAGCCTGCTTGGGAATTATTGGAGCAATGAGGAGAGCTCCAACAGCTGCAATGGAAATCCTACTAGGACTCCCTCCACCGCAGTTGCAGATGGAAGCAGAAGCCAAGTTAGGAAATTACAGATTACGTTGCAGTGATCAATTGAGACCTAAATCTGAAGGTTTGGGACATGCATGCGTGACTCGGGACATGAAAAAAGAACCCATCCTACAGATGGGATCTGATAAAATGCTACCGAAACATGTTTATGATAGACCCTTCACGATCAGATTTCCTGATAGAAGTGAATGGAAAGAGGGGTTTCAGCCTGATAGAAAGGGGGAACTAATCTGATATACAGATGGTTCCAAGACAAATAAAGGCACTGGAGCTGGGGTGTATCGTGATGGAACGAGGTGAAAGTATACCTTCAGCCTTGGTCAATACACAACAGTATTCCAGGCAGAGGTGTATGCTATTAAGGAGTGCACAGTTGACAATTTAGATAAGAACTATAGAAATAGGAACATCTGTATCCTATCAGACAGTCAAGCTGCAATTAAAGCACTTGGTACACCCCAAATCACTTCAAAATTGGTTTGGGACTGCCACCAATCCCTCATACAACTGGCCAGACATAAGAGAGTACAACTGATATGGGTGCTAGGTCATGAGGGTGTTGTAGGGAATGAAACCTCAGATCAACTGGCAAGAACAGGATCTGAACAGCCGTTCGTAGGACCTGAACCAGCTTGCGGCATCTCAATTGGAGTTGCCAAAAAAGCGATCAGGGACTGGACTGATATAAATCATAAAAAATACTGGGAATCCATAATTGGACTCAAACAGGCAAAGGGTTGTATATCAGGACCCTCAGCCAGAAGAACAAAGGGTCGGTTGAGATTAAACAGAGATCAGCTAAGATGGGTGGTAGGATTACTTACCAGACACTGCCACCTGAAAGGACACCCTTTCAAGTTGGGACTAACAGATAATCCAACTTGTGAAAGGTGCCTACAGGAAAACGAATCAGCCATACACATCCTGTGTGATTGTGAGGCCATAGCTTATTTAAGATTTCCTCACTTCGGTCAGTGTTTAAGGAACCAAGTGACTTTTATGATGCCCCCATAATCAGGGTCCTACACTTAATTAAAAATGTAGGATTAATAAAGGGCTAATCCAAGGGGAAGCACAATAGATTATTGAAGGTCACAGTGAGGGGGCCAGTTTTTATGGCCCTCCCATTATCATACATACAAACATACATATAACATATACATATATTGATAAGTATAAGTTAAATAATTATTCTATTATTCCGGTTGTGAATGGTCTATCTGACCATGATGCGCAGTCATTAATATTCAGTAATTTAAAAATTAATGATTCAAACCTTGGTTGTTATACTATACGCCAGATAAATAAAGACGGTATGGAAGACTTTAAGATAAACTTAAGCTATGAAACGTGGGAGGAAGTCTTTTTAGAGGATGAGGTTGATAAATTATTTAATAGCCTCCTCAATAGATATTTACAAGTTTTTAATAGCTGTTTTCCTGTTAAAAATTATTATATAATTCTAATAATAAAGCATGGTTAACAATCGCTATTAAAATTCCATGTCACCATAAAAGAAACCTTTATGTATTATGTAGGAATGTTAAAAATCCTATATTGCATGCCCATTACAAGAAATATTGTAAAATATTAAGAGAAGTTATAAAAGCAGCCAAAAGAATCTGTTGTAGCAAATTGATTGCTAAATCTAGTAATAAATCCAAAACTATGTGGGGCATAGTAAATAGCGTGACTGGAAAACATAAAAATGCTTGTCACCCACCACAATTAATTACTGGGGGAGAAAAATGTAAAGACAGTCAAAATATAGCTGATGCTTTTAATTTATATTTTAATACTACAATGCATAAACAGCCGAGTAACGATATCACCTCAGAGCCATCACTAAATAAAGATAAGTTTTTTTCGTTATTTATCCTCATTATCTATAGGATCCATAAGTAACATTACATATAAACCTGTAACTGCTAAAGAACTAAAAGATATTATTAAATCTCTTAAAAATAAAAATTCTTGTGGCTATGATGAAGTCTCAATGAAGATAATGAAATCGAGTAGGCCTTTCATAATATCGCCTCTTGTTTATATATGTAATAGGTCTTTGTCTACAGGCATATTCCCAGAATGGCTGAAATACTCACAAATGCATCATCATCGTCATCGTCAGTAATCTGTCAGACGACAGGTCCACAGTCTCTTCCAAAACAATTCCTCCACTTAATGCGATCTAGAGCTTTCTCCTTCAAATGACAGTATCCTCTTCTGTCCCCAAGGTCATCCAGCATCTTCTTACATCTTCTTCCTCGTCTTCTTGTCACTTCTATCTGCCCCTCTAACTTTCCTTCAATAACTTCTTTTAGAAGGCAGTTTCTGCGTAAAACATGACCAATCCAATTAGCCTTCCGTTTTTTTATTTCGTGTAGGATATTCCTCTGCTCACTTACTCTAATTAACACTTCTTCATTTCTCACATAATCCGTCCAACTGATCTTCTCCATCCTTCTCCTCCGATATATAAAAAAGGCGAAAAGTCTGAAATATCAAATTATAGACCAATTTCCATGCTTACATCTTTTTCCAAATTTTTTGAAAAAGTTATCTTCAATAGATTATATGCACATGTCCTTTTAAATAGTATTTTACCCGTTGAACAGTATGGATTTAGAAAAAATTTGTCTACTGAGACTGCCACTTTTAATTTAATTAATAATATATTACAGGCATTGAATGATAGAAAACTGGTTGGTGGTATTTTTTGTGATCTGACCAAAGCATTTGATAGTGTGAATCATGAGGTTTTGTTGACCAAGTTGGATTTCTATGGTATAGGAGGAATATTCTTTAAATTGATTACCTCATACCTGAATAATAGATACCAAAGGGTAGTAATAAAAGATAAAAAATCTGGACAATGTTTCTCTGATTGGAAACGGATTAAGTTGGGTGTTCTGCAGGGATCGATCCTTGGACCGTTATTTTGTTTTATTGTATATAAATGATTTACCAGCTATAATAAGTGACATATCAAAACCTACTTTATTCGCAGATGATATTAACTTAATATTAACTGCTCCTGATTATAGACAGCTTAAAGAAAATTTTAATATTGTCTTTGGGAAGATAATGCATTGGTTTCAAGCTAATTTTTTGACCTTGAATGTTAATAAAACACATTATATATATTTTAAAACAAAAATGAGTGAAACTGATAACTCCCCAATAAGGTATATAAATACTCAAATAAATAGTACCCATTGCACCGACTTTCTAGGAGTGACGCTGGATTTGACATCTTGGCAAATGACATATAAACAAAACGAGTAAGAAATTAAACTCTACTTGTTTTGTTATTATATCTGTTAAATCACTTCTAACAATTGATGATTTAAAAATTGTATATTATGCGTATGTTCATTCTATTATGACATATGAAATTGCCTTCTGGGGAAATGCTGTAAATAGTAAAAATATTGTTATAGTTAAAAAAAGAATCATAAGAATTATTATGAATGCAAATCCTAAAGCATCTTGTCGAGGATTTTTTAAACGTTTAAATATACTCCCTTTTTATTCCCAATATATATTCTCTTTATTGCTATTGGTAGTGAAAAATATGCATCTATTTGTGATTAATACTGAAATGTATACTATAAATACACGACAGAGTTTCAACTTACACTTACCATCTGTAAAGCTGACCAAGTACAAAAAGTGTGTGTATTATATGGGTATTGTAATATTTAATCATTTACCATGGAACATAAGAAAATTATCAACTGATGTTAAGAAATTTAGATTAGTCACTAAAAATTTCCTTTTAAGGGAATCTTTCTATTCAATAGATGAATACCTGGAATGGTCTATAAATCTATAGTTAAGGTTTATTCTGAATGAAATTCATATTGGTGTAATTGTGATAACATGTACTTATGGGCATATTTTGTATCTGTACATCACTGTTGTGACTCGAAAATTGTTCATTTGTTGTATGTATGTTGACAAAGTTGTGAGTTACAGCTGCTTTTATTATAATATTTTATCTATTTGTTATATTTTACTTTTCATTTTATATCTTATTTTAGTATATATATAAATGGACTGCTTCTATATCTGTGGTGACTGTCTTGCCCGTACTAATTGCTTGAGGTAATAATAAATCAAATCAAACTACTATAGAATGATTTGACTACACTGTCCAGTGTGACACAAAAGTCTGTTTATCTATATATGATTCCTTTACATGTTTCCGTCAATTAATGACTGTCTTCAGAAGGCAAATGACAGCACTTGAGGAAATGCAACAGTAGTTTCCTCAGGTGTTTTTATTTGCCTTTATTTTATTTACATGCAAAAGAAAGTTGCTCATGACTTTCGGTACAACCTACGTATAAATATACTTTTGAGTCACACTGGATGGTGTAGTAAAAATCATTCTATAGTATTGACTAGTGTGACTGACCAGAATGAATAAAGTTAAACTTGAGTAAACTACTTTCATCGTGTTATAATATTTTAGTAAGTCCTAGAGTGCTAAAGCCAGCACCCAAGTTAAAATTTGTAGCATTGGGATACTTAACGTAATTGAGAACTGTGGTAGAAATTCTGTAAATGTGGTCATCCAAGGGTACTAGCAGTTTATAAAATCTTTTTTTTTTTTTTTTAATGCTAGTGGGGTGGGACTAAGTCCCTTGCAATGCGGCCATTTCTGGCCTATTGTACCAGCCCCAGATGATAGGTGAGGGTGACTGTGGAGCAATTGGTGGAATGAAGATTGGCAGGGGAAACTGCCCCAGTGCCACTTTGTCCATGACAAACACCACTTGACCAGACCCGGGATCTAACGTGGGCCACTGCTGTAGGAAGCCTGCGACTAACCGCTTGAGCTATGGTGCGGTCCTTTATAAAATCTTTATTCCTTTATTAAGTACCAGAAAAGTTGCTTTACTTTCAAGTACAATACCACACATTGTAAAGTATTTTGTTTTTGTTGCTGTCATTATCATTTGTAATGTACTTGTGTTAAAGGAGTCATTTATACATTTGCCATACCTGTATTTTTTGTGGTAAATACAGATGCAGAATAAGTGATTATTTCATTAGTGTTGCAGTAGGCCAGATGGTTGCATCCCCATGGGATCCCCCCTCACTCCAAGTTATATATATATATATATATAAATTTAAGAATTTTATTTATATGTATATATAAAATGCTTAAATTTTTGTGTATACTTACAAGGGTGCCTAGTACCTCTAACCATGCATTGTCCTTTGCTCAGTGGAATTCTCTAATTTTACAATAGGTAAGATCAGAGGGTGTATACAGCTTTAGGAGGCAGTGATCTGTAAGGATTACAGTTTGCAACCATTGGATATTTAACTCTGAAACTGGAATGAAAAATGGTTGTTGTCACCAGGTCTGTCCCTTTGTGATGTGATGTGTGAAGGAAATTGGTGGATGTGGGTCTCCTTTAATCTTTATATACATACATACACACAATTAAATGTAAACTGTATGTAAAAGCATACCAACTCAAAGAGCAAAGTCCTTCTTGAGAAACTGATAGTCATTCAGCTGTTCAAGAAATACCCCGCATTGTATGGGACATGAAGGTTCATTACCATATTCAGTGAGTTGTACATTGTACTAATAATCAGGTTCATAATAAACACAGTAAATATTCTACTGACTTGTTAAGACTGAAGTAAAAAGGCACAGTGAAACAAAAATTTCAACATAATGCCAGTTGTGCATGTGTACCAGCTCAAAATTTTGAGGATCACTTTTAGTTTTAAATAATAAAACGTGTTGGAGAACGGTAACAATTGATAAGAGAAGTGCATTCTTATTCCTCAAATCAGCCGTTCGTATTCATAATGGATTATAGTAGTTGTACTGTGTCTTTGTTACATGTTTGTGTCATATTAATTATCTCTCACTGTGTAATTTCATTCTGTGTTCTAGCCCAAGACCAAGCTGTCTTTTCTCGTGATGTGGATCTATCCCTAAAGAAGAACCCACTTTACCCTAAGAATATTGAAGATTTCATTGCAGGTTTTGAGAAATACTGCAGTGAAAACAGCAATCTTAAGAAAGTGCTGACTCATACAAAGGTAAAAAAACTGTCACATATTGAATTAAATAGTTTACAGTTCTCTGTATCTTACGTGTAATGTGTTGGTTCTACATCGAATGTAGATGTTGTGGTGTGTAAGAAAGCCAGGATGTGGAAAGGGATATGACTTCTTAGTTTAACCTTTATAGCCAGGAACAGGGATTTAAATCTCCCTGTCCTCTGGGGTTGGTGACGATGATCATAGGAAGTTACAGTTCATTAACAAGGAATAGGAGATCTTAGATATCCTTATTTTAACTCAGAAATAACAGTATCAGTATTGAAAAAATGCTTGGGCAACTGGATTCTGCAGATGTGCCATTGCAGTATTGCAGCATGTGACTACTGATGAGGCTTATGAAAAATACAAAACTCCTCTAGATAACCAAAGGGGCACGCAGTAGCATAGTTGGTTGAGGCATTATGGTACAAGCCGGAAGGTCACGGGTTCAAGTCCCGATGAGATAATTGGATTTTTTTCAATTGACCTAATCCTTCCAGCTGCACTATGGCCCTGGGGTCGACTCAGCCTCTAACAGGAATGAGTACCAGGAATATTCTTGGGGGTAAAGGGCAGCTGGCGCGTAGGGCTTACAACCTTGCCACCATCTATGAGCCAATTGTCTAGAAAATGTGGGAACCTCAACATCTCACAACCCTTTGGGCCTCCATGGCCTGTTACAAGGTTACCTTTACTTTTTTTACTTCTGGATAACTAGTCATGACCAAGACTTTGACACAAGTACCTCCAGAAAAGTAAATAATGATAACTGTGTGCCAGATGTGTGCAGATAAGCTCATGGCATTAATAAAGGAATGGTAGAATCAAAATTTTTCCTGTAGTACCATTGTATACAGGTGTCGCAGGAGGAAAGGTCAATATTCTGGGAGGTCATAATATAAGCCATTATAAACAAAAAAGTGTATATGTTCATGTATCCTATTCTGAACGGTTTCCAAAATAGAGAATTTCACTGTACAGTTCCAAAATTGTTGATAAGAAGGATATTACATAACAAAAACAGAACAAACTCTGTAACCTGTAGTCCACAAGTGAACTATACTGACCGAGCGACCGCTGATTGTCGCCAAAGTTAGTGCCAACTTTAGCAGATAGAGGGTGTCACGTGGTCAGCACAACGGATCCCCACGGATCGGTTTTCTAGACCAGAGCCGCTATTTCATTGAAATAGCTCCTCAGTTATCCTCACGAGGCTTAGTGGACCCTGTTCCAGGCCAGGCCCACTACTTCTCAGAACCAGGGATCAGCCAGGAACTCTGACCACTAGACCACAGAGAAGGATATTACATATTGTTTCTAATACCAGTATTTATTCTTCCAGTGACAAAGTTGGTACAGTTTATCTAGTATAGTATATTTTTAAAAATTCTGCTGTAAACATCAGTGCACTTTGCAACTCATGTGAGGATATGGCCTGTTGTTAGTCGGCGTGCATCTTGACGTTCCTTTATGAGGGTTTGTTGCTTGTCTGAGTGCATTTTGAAGTTCCTTTATGTGGGCGATAGCATCCATTATGTGGTTGAGCTGTTTGTATTGTGAATCCACTTTTCTCCTATACACTTTACTAGTCATCCAACTCATAAGCAAAAATCTAACAGGGTTCAGCTTGGAGTTCTTGGTTACCAGTTAATTGTACTGCCATGATTGATCCACCAATTATGGAAAGTTTCATTGAGATATTGTGTCACAAGTTGGCCAGTAGGGACAGTAATGATCCAAGACTAAAAAGTCGCTACAAAATGTACTGTAAAATCTTGTCAAAAGTCATTAAAGAAGCCAAACAGAATAATTATAACAACCAAATTCTAAAATCAAACAATAAAATTAAAACCACCTGGGATATTTTGAAAGTTGAATCGGGAAAGAAAACTGTTAATGAAGATGTACAAAGTTTGAATATTGAAGGAAAGTCTACTAATAATCCACAAGCTATTGCGAGTGCATTTAATGAATATTTCCTCTCATTAGTTGAGAAAACATATCTTAACAAAAACAACAACAACAACAATAATAATAATAATAATAATAATAGCAACA